TACGAATTTAAATATCATTTTGTACGAAATCGAATGTCACTTTGTACGAATTTGAATGTTATTTTGTATGAAATTAAGTGTTCTTTTGTACGAAATTGATGTCAAAAGGGAAAATGTTATTGAGTTGACTTACCCATGACCGAAATATGTCCCAGATTACGCTCATAGGTGCATCTGTTTTCACTGATCCTGGCATTGCATGCGATACCGAAACCTTGTAACCTTCGTTCAAGATGGCAGAACTATGTGGGAATGATAATCACACAATTTATAATAATCCTTCATTTTTTTAGACAGAACAAATTTAATTTTTTTTTTTACCAAAACGTTTTTAACGGTGGGCTTGTGCAATGAAGTGTACCGGCAAGAGCGGAAAGACTGTGAAAAAGAGGAATATCTAATTCCTATATTATATTCAAACAAATAAACAAAACATACACATGGTACAATATTACAAAAATTAATGTGGTGGCTGAAGCTGAAAATTTAACCTAATTTATTATGAAACCTTTAAAGGCTTGAGTTGCATTTCTTTTTAGTTAGTTTTTTTTTTTTTTGTATAGTAGTTTTTATAGACCTTAACAGAGGCCCAAGATTTTCAGCCTCAGTCCCACAATTATTAACTTCATATTACCTCCATGATAACAGACAACATTCCCAACATTCTTGAATGTGTTTGATATGTATCTTTGCTTGACTCTTTGACATGCTCTAACATTCTATGAACAAATTGTTTATCATGAATAGAATGCGTCCATATCGGACCACCTACCTAATTTAATACGAAAATAAATTAATAATATTTTTACACAAAAATTGTCCACAATAATCATCCACACAGAATTATATATTTATGAAACATACATGGAACTTATTTTCACAATGTTCACAACTATTATTCACAATTGGCCCTGCCATCGGTACATATGTATTTTTTCCTGTTAATTTTGCAAGTGGCTGCGTATAATAGGAGTGGCAACCAGTGCATACATAGAGCATTGATGTTTTGCTTGAAGATTAAATCGACATTATAGAGTTCAATAATTGTAGAAAAAATAAAAGGCAGATTTTGTTATATTACGAATTATTTACCAGGGATTATTTTTTACTTCAACAGGTGATGTGACAACTCGAATGAAAATACGAATATAAAAGTCAATGCTGCAACTTAACAATGGGATGATACGGCGACGATATTTAGCAGCAGATGTTGAAAGTGTGTGAAGGAGAATGCGGAGTGCCTTTAATTTGAATACATAATTGATTAAAATACTTATGCTTTTTTTTATACCTGCTTACAAATTTATGAGAAATGAAGATAATAGCCGAACCATTTCGTGACAGAATTCTCCCTTTACAGGGATTGAACCGTAATTTGCATAACTAATGTAAAATAACAGCATCAATCCAAAATTTGAATTAAACACTGAAATGCAACAAAGTTAAAAATTTCTATTTACCATTTTTCAGGGTAATTTGAACCAGTAAGGTTGGCCAAATCGGTACAAGTAATACAAAGAAGGCCTACGAATTAAGAACAGTAAATCAAAGAAATACAGAATATGACCCAAGCGATTATATATACCTCCTTCCTCTACAGCTTGCACAGCACCATCTATGAATGGTGCTGCTGTTCCATATGGATCAAGATCAATAACATCAAATCGATCAGGAAAACTTCGATGTTGATACAATACAGAGCTTTAATTTAACAAATATTAAAAAACAAAATTCTAAAATATTTTAATTGGAATATACGTTATACAGCTTTAAAAAGACCTACCAAGCATCGCCCTGATTCGCTCTAACAAAGTCTTTGCTTAATTCATTATACTCCACATTTTTATTAATCAAATTCACGGCGTCAAGATCTAAATCGTTAGCAACTATGTATTTAACATTTGGGATTTCCTTTGCATAACGAATTGACCGTAATCCACTAGCTGCCAATGCTTCTAAAATAGTGAAAGTATATGTCTTTGATGGCTGTCTTATATAACGGTAGGTGTTTAGTAAATGGACTATTGAAACAGTTATTACGGAGACTAAAAGACAGAGTGAGTTTGAACAAACCTTGGAACTCGCTATCTTGCCATTATCGAAAACCAATTTAACACATCAATATTTACGATTTGAAAGAAATGTCGAAATTAAAGTGTACCTATTACATTGAGTTTTTATATCTGATTCCTTCTTTTGCTGCGCCTTTTTCTGTTTTTCCTCTGAGATGATCTCACTCCAGATTTTAATAGCTGCGATAGATATATCACGATTAAATTGTTGAACATTATTGTAGAATACTTTGTTATCTTTCGGGAAAAGAATGCTGGCTTTTCCTTCTGTAATCACATTAAATTCATTATCCATTTTTCCTAACTTTTCAAGGGATCTAATACGACTCGATGTGGAGAGTTTTGTTTGCCAATTTTTAACAGCTAGAACGTGTTTTAAGAAAAAATTTTTCCGTAGCTTTGCACAAATTGCAATCTGAAAAAGAGTAGGATGAAGAGGCATGTAATTTTTATCGCCTAGCGAAAATAAATATATAGTCACATGATTTGCATTTACTAATTTCCCCCAAGTTTCTATTGGCTATTGGTAAATCGCGCCCAGGGCCGATGATTTTCTGTGATTCACAGAAAACAGCAGAATTTCTTTTAATCGCGGCCAGGGACGATGATTTTCTGCATTTCACGGAATGATTTATAGGTAAACAGCATAGTCAATCACTAAAATGTATCGTCATATATCTGTATATACGCCACATATATCATCTGACTTTAAACGAATTGGCTGCCATGAAAACGAATTGTCCAGGGGAACCGAATAC